GGCGATTCTTAAAAAAAAAAAAAAACGTCGCACGTTCATAGAGGGCACTTATACATTACGCACTTACATACGAACTTACATTACGAACTTACATACGCACTTACATACGCGCTACATACGCCACTTGTACGCACATTAACATAGCACTTACGTACGCACTTGCTGTACGCACTTACATCGCGCGTACAATACGCGCGATACATACGACATCTAAGCATACGCCACTTACATCACTACATGACGCAACTTAATACGCACGTTACATCGCAACTTACGTACCCTTACATACGCGCTTACAATACGCACTTACATACGCACTTAGCGTTACGCCTTACATACGCCACTTACATACGCACTACTATGCACTTAAATTACGCACTTACATCACTTTGCCTACATACGATTAAGCATGTCACTTACATACGCAAACATCGCCTTAACATACGCACTACATCACTTTTACATACACACTTACATACGCCACGTTATATCACTTACATACGCACTTTACATACGCACTTTACATACTGCGCTTACATACGCACTTACATCACTTACCATACGCACTATACATGCACTTACATACGCGCTACATACGCACTTACATCACTTACGATACGGCGCTTACATACGGCACTTTACATCACTTACATACCGCGCTTACATCAACTTACATATTGATACGCGTTAACGTTGGGGTTGCGCGCTAAGGGTCATCATAAACGCAACATTCACGCCTAAGACTCTGAAATTATCCTTACAGCCTTATCCGTAATTCGTAACCCGCACCAGCTAGATTTTACCGTAATTATACATCCTACGCATTTGCCTCAAGCTTAACCGCACGATGCCTCAACTTCTTTAAAATGTAAACATTTATTATACAGTTTTGTTGGTGTTTGCTCTGTACACGAATTTGTAAACAACTCTCTATCACTTTCGTCATCAGCCGCCACCTCGACAGTCACAGGCACTTGCGGACTGTCCTCAATAAAAAAAGAGAGTAAATAAACACGAAATGCATTTCTACGGAAAGTCTTAATGTTTCTCGTACTCTATGTCGCTATTATTGCCGATAATTACCGTTAAATGCAGGTCAAATTCTCACTCTGCAACCAACAAGTAACCGCACGCCGCACGTGTGCACAAACCAATATTGGACGCGGCATTTACGGTAATTATCGGCATAAATAAGCGAGATAGAGTAGAGAAACATTAAGACATTTGTAGTAGTAAATACATTCGTGTTTTATTTTACGGATTTTATTTTATTACTATTCGGAGTACGTTTCAAGTGCGTGTGCTCCACAGTGGCTTTATGATTTGTAGTCACGCGTATCATACAGGGTTGAGTAATGCTGTGAGTGTATGCATGAAGTAATAAAACCATTCTTGCCGCTTGCTTTCTGGTTTTTCGCCCGGTGGTGACTTTGAACTGCGGCTACCTCATAACTGCCATATGCTTATGGCAAACCTAAAGGCATTGTTAAACCGCAGGATTTCCCCTAATAGAGAGATAAGAGAGTTTTAGTCGTGTGTGTGTGTTGGTGGCGCCTGCGGCGCCGTGCGTGCGTGACGTGCGTGCGTGCGTGGCGTGCGTTGCGTGCGTGTGCGCGTGCGGTGCGGTGTGTGTGTGTGTGTGTGTGTGTGTGTGTGTGTGTGTGTGTGTGTGTGTGTGTGTGTGTGTGTGTGTGTGTGTGTGCGTGCATGTGCAAACATATATCGCACGCGTAGCGAATACTGCGATTAACGGAATGAATACTCGGGGAATTAATTGTTTGCCCAGATACGAAAAGGGCTATTAAAATATTAAAATAAACTAAATAATACTTACTCACATGAAAAAGGTTATACAAACAAACCCGTGCGGTAAGTGCTCGCGTGAGTGGTTCGGTGTTTGCGCGCGTGAGGTAATGCGGGTGCGTGTGTGCGTTCGTGTGTGTTCGTGCGATTTCGTGTGTGTTCGCGTGCGTTCGCGTGCGTTCGCGTGCGTTCGTGTGCGTTCGTGTGCTTTTGTGTGTGTTTGTGTCAATTCGTGCGCGTTCGCGTGCGTTCGTGCCCGTTCGTGCCCGTTCGTACGCGTTCGCGTGCGTTCGTGTTCGTTCGCGTGCTTTCGAGCGCGTTCGTGTTCTTTCGTGCGCGTTCGTGTGCGTTCGTGTGCGTTCGTGTACGTTCGTGTGCGTTCGTGTGCGTGCGTGCGAGTGCGTGCGCGTACATGTGCGGTTGATACTTGTCTTGCTTCTTCAGTCAGATTTACTGTGACGGACCAATACTGCATCACGCGCAGATGCTGAGGATATATAATGATAGCAAAACATTTGTCGACAAGAGCTTAAAACAAGATCCAGGTACGAAATTCTCAAATGTTATAGCCATCGATATCAATACGTACAGACAAATATATTAATAGATAGATAGATAGATCGATAGATTGATTGATTGATAGGTTGAATTGATTGATCGCTTCTTATGTTATCAATCCTAACCCTCCCAGTAGTTTGATAATTTACATACATGCTATAGAGACTGTATTCTATGACGCAGCCGATGGCAAGTTTCCCATCAACATGCTAACACCGCCACTTACTCATACCGCGACAGTGGCGCCACGTAGCGCCCTGTTTGTCAAACCCTATATACTCCTATATATATATATATATAATACTATCTAATATACTATAATCTACGACTACAATCCTATATATACTCCTATATAATATGCGGCTGTGCTACACAGATGTCGTCACGGAGGCGTTCGAGAAATTTCTCCTCGCGAATCCCGATCCGACTAAACAGCAGATGATCGACTTTGTCGACACCTACTTCGGCGACGTCGCAACCGAATTCGAGAAATGGGATCCGGAGAGCGACGGCGACTGGCATCCGAACATCGGACTGCTGAACCGGATCGAAGATGCGAAATTGCGACAGTACGCTCGGGATTTGCACGCAGTCTGGAAGCTGCTAGGCAGACGAGTACGTGTACGAGTACATGTTACCGCACGAAGACCGACATGGGAGATGTAAACACACAGACCTGTGCGCGAGAACGCACGTACGCGCGCACGCACATACATGGGCATACACACACCGATGCACGCACATGCACACACGCATACATACACACGCGCACGCACACACACGCGCACGCACGCAAACACGCACACGCACACACACACGCGCGCGCGCACGCACGCACGCACGCACGCACGCGCGCGCGCGCGCACACACACACACACACACACATACACATATGCATATATACACGTGAGTTTGAGTTTGTGTGTACTCGTTCATATGCAATACCTATCAGCACTGCGCTTCGAACGCATGACAGTGATTGCACACCGATGACGTGTGATACATAGAACAGACGCGCAGGGATCATACAACATAACCTCTCTCTCACTAACACACACGCAAGTATATCAATGGCGAGTTGGGCTGGTGTTGCTGTGATAGTTAGTTAGATAGACGGTTGTATCGCGTGTGCGTTGGGCTGATAGGGTCTATGTCCCCCAGGGTACTGCCGGAACGTACCCTGGGTACGGTCCGGTATACCGGAACGTATCCTGGTACTAAATACTACTATCTAATATGCCGGACCGTACCTCGCCTACTCCACTAACGAGTCTATAGGGAGTCGCCTACGCCTACTCCACTAACGAGTCTATAGGGAGTCGCCTACGCCTACTCCCTAACCCTAACCCTAACCCTAACCTTAACACTAACCCTAACCCTAACCATATTAGCTAGATAGTTACCAGGGTACGTTCCGGTATACCGGACCGTACCCAGGGTACGTCTGGTATAACTGGTGAATGGTAATCTTCACTATAACTGTAATAGTCCGGAAATATCGTTGATTGTTGTTGAGATCATGAGATATTTCGCCAGTTGTGACAATAGTGATCGTATCAAGCTGTAACATGATGTGACAATAGTGATCGTATCAAGCTGTAACATGATGTGACAATAGTGATCGTATCAAGCTGTAACATGTTGTGACAATAGTGATCGTATCAAGCTGTAAAATGATGATTTCTTGCGGAAAACTGTTCATATAGTGTATAATACGATCATCTATCCTCACAATAAAATTTTACGAATGCCATGACATGTCACGCAATGATGAGCCAAGCCATGCAATATGATACATAATGGTTGATCTTGCTCCATACAATAGCATCCTGTCTCTTGCTTGCACACAGATATCGCTCGATGTGAAGTCGAATCCGCAACTCTACTCACTCATCTACTCGCCATCTCCCTTCATCGTCCCTGGAGGGCGCTTCAGGGAGATTTATTACTGGTAGGACACCTGCGAGATGCAAATAATGTATATGACAATGAGTTCTAGGTGTTGTACAACAGTAGAGGGCGTCCATAGGCAGCAGGCCTGAATCAGCATCGAACATAAATTAATTAGAAATACATAACGTACACTTTATTCATGCTAAATAAACACAGATTTAAGGTCTAAACTCCGCTCGAAACTTTTGCTAGCTGTTCTATGTGCTGTTGTCCTACTGTGGCTACTGTTGTATGCCATCTTTATGTATAGCTGCGTGGTGTAATGTACGTGTACGTGCGGTGCATTCATATTAGTATAATCGTTATATAATTACGTGCTAGACCGTCAACTCAATCGTTCTCCGATCTTAATTCGTATAGGAGGCGCCACTAACTTCGACATTGCACCGTTCTTTTACTTGTAATTCTCCTTTTATGCACCGAAATAATGAGACTACATTGAACGACATACTATAGCACCTACTGCAATGAAGATATGTAAGCTTAATGGGTATAACGAGCACATGGGTAAGAATGTCTTCGTTGAATACTCATATACTTATATACTCGCTAAAGCGTGAAAAAAGCGTCGGTGTAAAATGGAGATTTTTCAGGGACTCTTATTGGACAATTAAAGGCCTTATACTTTCTGAAATGACGGACACTGTGAAGGGCATGATCAACAACTTCGTCACCTTCATTAAAGAGTAAGTACAATCAACCAGAAATACACCAAGCATGCTGCTTCACTATGAAGACTACTGCGCGTCTATTCTTTTCCCCACCCACAGCTACTCTAGTTCCGATTCTTTTGTAAAAGAAAGAGTTCGGTTAGAAGACCTTACATTCTCGTGCTAGTCCTGTTTTCTTTTATATTATTGAATAAAATGACCGATAGGGCGGGCGGAGAGTAAGCTAGGGATCTGTTTTAAACGTCCACAGCCGTCACTGACGGTGAGGAGCTTTGCAAGCTCATGTTGATATATCTTATACCAATGTACCGACTTTAAATAAATAAATAAATAAATAAATAAATAAATTCCCGCCTCTATGTTACTCTCACGATGATTCGTGGTTCTTCTCGCAAGACTCGGCTTCGTTCCTAACGGAGGTCGCATCTACTACACTCGGCGCAGTCAGCCTCCGCTCCTCATCCCCATCGTTAACGACTACTACGTACACACAGCTGACCTTGACTTTGTCAAGGGCATTCTGGAGCAGCTGGAGACCGAGTACAAGTTCTGGATGAAGGGCAAGAGACGGTAGGGAATCAATGCGTAAGGTGCCCGCTGCATATACCAGTCAGTAGAGAATCGGTGTTCGCACATGCGCGATATATCTCCTGAGAAGAATATTATTTTACGATAATTATGCATTTAAAATGGAGAGAAGGTATTCTAGCATAGAATTATATGATAATATTCCATCAGTAGACCTCAATTAAGAAATAGAAAGAAGACCTTCCATGTAAAGTCTCCGCCTCATATACCAGTCAGTACACACTATGGCTACGTTAGTGTGTTAGCGCATGCGCAATATCTTACCAGAGGAGTCATATTTCGTGATGAATATGCATTTAATATAGTCAGGGGGTATCTCAGCATAGATTTCTGTAATTAATTATTATCAGTAGACCTGTGCTTATAATTGGGAGAGCGCCCTAGCCTGTAGGGTGCCAAACTACTACTTCATTGCCTTATATCCTACCCTTGCCTCCTTTGTCTCTCACTCAACATCCTTCTTTTTTTATCGCCCCTCAACTATCTTCCCTGCCACCATTCTTCAGTCTCCCACCCCTCTCTCCATCAGCAAACTATATTATGCAGTATTCCTCAGTCCGTATTTGCACACCCGAAACAGTGCTCGCGCATGCGCAATATCTCCCGAGAATAATAAGCTTTTTCACAAATTATGCATTTAGGATAAAGAGGAGTTATCCTAGCATAGATTTATATGATAAAATTCTATCAGTAGACCTCAATTAAAAATAGGAAGAAGGGCTTGCATGTAAGGTCACCCCGCTGCTTATACATGTCAGTACACAGTCTGGCTAGGTTAGTGTGTTAGCGCATGCGCAATATCTCACCAGCGGAGTTATATTTTGTGATGAATTTGCATTTAATATGGTCAGGGGGTATCTCAGCATAGATTTCGGTAATTAATTGTTATCAGTAGACATGTGTTTATAATTGGGAGAGTGCCCTAGCCTGTAAAGTGCAAAGCTCCTATTTCACCTCCTGCCGCCCTTCCCCTGGCCTCCCTTTTCCCTCGATCAGCCTCCTTCTTCCTTCACCGCCCCAGCTATCTTCCCTGCCCTATCTCTCTCTCTCTCTCGCTCTTTCACTCTCTCCCTATATATATATATATAATATAAAAGAAAAGTCAACAGATACGAAAAGGTGTTTAAAGTATAATTGCGAGCGCTTCGAAGATATTAATCTCTTCATTCAGGTAGCACACGCTATTCTAATACTTGGATTGTTATCTACAACGGTTCGTGTGGACTTTACTTATATATTATTATATATATATATATATAAAATATTATTTATATTACTTGTTTATATCTATATAGATATATTATATAAAGAAAGAATATATATATATATACATATATTTTACATACGGACGAACATGTTTTATTTGTCTGTAGGGTCACGGTGAACAGGAATGGTGCGGAGTACATATTAAACCGCTACGATGTGGAGGTAGGCAAACCTCGGCCGGAGAGCTATCGCGAAGACTACGAACTTGCTGCTGACATGGAACCCGGTAAACGCTAGCGGAGTTATTTCATAAAGTCCTCTCTCTCTCTTCCTCTGTGTGTGTCTCTCTCTCTCTCTTTCCCTCTCTCTCTCTCCCTCTCTCTTTCTCTCTCTCTCTCGGTCCTTTTCGCTCTGTCTCTCTCTCTCTCTCTGTGCCTCCGTCTCTCTCTCTCTCTCTCTCTTTCTTTTTCTCTCTCTCTCTTTCTCTCTCCTCTAACGGTTTCTCCCTCTCTGCCTGTCCCCTTTCTCTCACTCTCTCTGTCTCTCTCTCTCTGTCTCTCTCTCTCTCTCTATCAACAACTGATGGTGGCACACACGCGGAGAGCATTCTGCTACGTGCTGCCATTAATGGAGAGATCACGAATGATCGTGGCAGTCATAATAATGTACAGTGATCGTAGCAGTTAGGTACATGGTAACCCAAAAAAAATGCAACCCAAACAAGTGTTAATAACTTTTTTGATATAGATGTTAACCCTTTCATTTTTCAGATTTAAAGAGGTAAATAGTTGCCAATCAGATTAGAATAAAGAGTTTTTCAAGATGCCTTGGTCTCTTCGACAGAAATCATGGTCCGTGGAAACGTACTTTTCGACCAAATCGTTCAAAACTGTACAAGCACGTTTCAAGAGGGAATTCAATTGCCGCACCTATCCAAACAAAGGACTCATTCTAAGATGGGTACAGAAGTTCAGGGTGCATGGGACTGTCAAGAACCTCAATGCCAAAGGAAATACTCCCACACACTCAGGGAGACAAAGGAGTGCAAGAACAGAGGAGAACATCACCTCAGTCAGGACCTCGGTTGGCCGCAGTCCAAAGAAGTCGTTACGTTGGCGCAGCCAACAATTGTGCATTCCGAGGGAGTCTCTGAGGAGAATTATCTGGGTCAGCTTATGCTTAATTTCTATCCTGTATGGGTACGAATGCAGATCCTAAATCAAAATTCTCCTTAGAGACTCCCTCGGAATGCCCAATTGTTGGCTGCGCCAACGTAACGACTTCTTTGGACTGAGGCCAACCGAGGTCCTGACTGAGGTCATGTTCTCCTCTGTTCTTGCACTCCTTTGTCTCCCTGAGTGTGTGGGAGTATTCCCTTTGGCATTGAGGTTCTTGACAGTCCCATGCACCCTGAACTTCTGTACCCATCTTAGAATGAGTCCTTTGTTTGGATAGGTGCGGCAATTGAATTCCCTCTTGAAACGTGCTTGTACAGTTTTGAACGATTTGGTCGAAAAGTATGTTTCCACGGACCATGATTTCTGTCGAAGACTCCAAGGCATCTTGAAAAATTCTTGATTCTAATCTGATTGGCAACTATTCACCTCGTTAAATCTTAAAAATGAAAGGGTTAACATCAATATCAAAAAAGTTATTAACACTTGTTTGGGTTGCATTTTTTTGGGGTCACCCTGTATTTAACCGGCAAATAAACGCACGCACTCAAGCACGCACGCACGCACGCTCGCTCGCAATCACACACCACATTCGCGCAACACAGTTATTAGTTATTTATTTAGTTATATGCACAAACACATCATCACTCATAATTATTGAAATCTAGTGCATTATATCCACGATTCTTTCTTCTTTCTTCGAACTTATTTCTGTCTGCTATATGAATCCGGCCATACAGTGTAAGATTCAGTGAATCACACATCATTGAATATTTTCTTTTATTTCCCCGGCAGCCAAGGCAGCAGATTTCTGCTCTAACATCGCCTCGGCCTGTGAGTCTGGCTGGGATTTCTCCAGCAGATGGATACAAGGCGACGGAACCAAGTTGAGGGACATCAAGACCACGACTATCGTGCCGACCGATCTCAACGCCATCTTGTGTTGGAATGAAAAACTTCTCGCAAAGTTCTATGGCCTTGCGGGTATACTGATGGCGTGCGCATGAAAACTTGACATTTTCATGGTCATATTAATGTACACACAATATAGTAATAACAACAAACGCCTTATATATATATATATATATATATATTATAATATATTTATATATAATATAATTATAACAAAGTCAAGGTATCAGTAATAAGGGGTTTATAAAGTTTAATTGAGCAGCTTTCCGAGATTACATCTCTTTATCAGGTCAGCGGAATCCGGAATCAAGAACTCATAATTCAAAAACAAATACAATGCGATATATAGATAATCAACTCTGACGTCACACAATTCGCGCGTTGCCAGGCATATCGGACAGACAAAAAGAACACGGACCATTACACCGCACACATCACACGACAACACACACACCACACCACACACACACCCAAACCACACCATCAGCCACATCACACAACCACACCACCACACAAAACAAACATCACGCACACAAACACACCTTGCACACACACACGCCACCACAACAACCACAACACCACACACACACCGCAACACAACAACGAAGCATGGACTCAAATCACACGTTAATTAATGTAAAATTAGCATGAACGTTTAGTTTCATGGGCCCAGGATTCAAACAACCACCTCAAATAATTTGCTCCGTATGCTGTCGGACGTGACGGTATTGCTCAATATCGGATGTCAGGTTCGGCAGCCACAAACCGCACGTCATCAATGTGATCGGTTGGTTAAAATGGTCCGCCAACCGAAACCATGCAAATTGAGGCGCTAGATCTTAGGTGTCAACAAACTATCCGCAAGGCGGCGTTTTGATTATCGCAATATAAGTCCAAAATTTGGCCAATTTAACGCTTCTCAATGAGAGTAAAATGGTTCAGTCGACACGATTGTAAATGAATCCCGCCACCATAAATTTGCGCGATGCCCTTGAAACCACAGAACATATTGTGATCATTAAATTGCACAAGTACTGAAACGTTTCGCAACACGGGTATGAGCCAGGTACTGAAAAAATCTTGTGATGTGCAGCAATTGGAAAGATGATAGGCTAAGACCAATGAACTCTGTCTAAATTGAACATTATGTCTGCGTTTTATTCACGCCCGTCTTTAGGTATTACGACGCCCCGATTTAACAGGAAAGTATCTTTTTATATTACTTAGATAGATCAATTGATGATAGCCACACGGCGCATGTTAATAAACATTATACATATTCATACGTCGAGCGGGATTCATTTACTGCGTGCGAAGAACCTCATATACGCTTGAATCGCATTAAATGCCAAATTTACTATATGCGCGAAACAAAACGCGCTTCGCGGACTAGCGTTATGTTGAACACCTAAGATACTATTTTGCATGGTTTTCCGGCTTGCTGGACCAATTTTTTTAACCAACTGGATATCACATCTGACTGACGCTGCGTGTTTGTGGTCCAATGACAACCAATATTAAATACCTCACGTCGAACATGAACGGCAGCAGAACATAATTTCTGAGAGCGTTGGTTGTTGAGTACCGGGGGCATGAACGCAAACTTTAAATTACGGTTTGTGATTTTTTGAATCAATTGGTTCGTTGCTGTCATTGTGTGTGTGTGTGGTGTGTGTGTGGCTGTGTGTGTGTGGTGGTGCGCGCGCCTGTGTGTGTTTTGTGTGTGTATGTGCCTGTGCAGTTGTGTGTGTTGTGATAAGAACGATCCGGAGAAATGGAGATGATTGAATAATGATGTGTCGTTTGTGGTGTGTGGGTGTGAATGTGTTTGTGTGTTTGAATAGACAATTGTAGTTGTATGGTTTCGTGCACCCACTTTAGTGCAACATGTTTTGGATGTGTTGGGTGTGTTTGTGGTGTGTGTGGGTGGTGTGCTGTGTTCTGTGTGCTGTGTGATGGTGTGTTGTTTGTGTGATGCATGCTGTGGGAAAGTGTGTGTGGTGCCCATATGTGTGTGTGGCTTGTTGTATCCACTGTGCGTGTTCTTTATGTCGTCGTATTCATGGCCACCGCACAAACTGTCGTGACTCATGTGATATCTTAGAACGCCATTTGTATTTGTTTTTAATTATTTGCTTCTATTCGAAACTGGTTCCTTTTGCTGACTTGATGAAGAGATCTGTAATCTCGAAAGCTTGTCATATTAAGACTTTAAACACCCTCTCATTCCTTACCTTAGACATTTGTGTTTTTACTCTACTTCGGGTGGTTCGTGTGTGACCTCTATTACTATTATTGATATTATTATAATAGGATTAAATACTTAACTGACGCACCTCAATCTCAGTTAAACCCTGACATATATGTCCATTAAGGCGCTATTGCAAGAAGTGGATGGATACAAGACCATACGAAACGCCTCTCGACGACTACATGCTGTGACGGCTTGGCCACGATAATCAGCTGTTTGCCAATTTAATAGTAATTTATCATATATAACACCAGAATTAATTTTAAGTATTGGCAAGCAAGCAATTAGCATTAGTCATCTGTCAGGAATTTCCCTCTCTGTGAGACATAAACGCGTATGTGCGCCAGTGTTAATGATAAGTAAGGTAATATATTGGCTGTGTGGTCACACATCAGCACTCATTCGGCTCTCGCGATCCACTAACGGTTGAGAAAACTAAGTTACTGACTGAAGCCTGCTCAACACAGTGATCCCCTTGCGCACAACGGGGTATGGCCGGTATCAACATGCTTTTATTGAGTAATTTAATATACTGGCAAAGCAGGCGACAATCACTATGAGCCTGCCGTTATGCTCACAGCGTAGTAATGCGTAATACTATGTGGCTCACGCGTATTCAACCATGCTTGTTATCAGACATGAATTTAATTAATTGCGGGTGCCCGCCCTGCAACGAATTCTGCCACGAGTTTTTTGGCATCAATCCATCGCGAATTGCCTGGTTCGTACTGAAAATATATGTGTGAAAGAGCACTATAGGCCAAGTAACTCTTATAGCGCAGGCTCATGTTTGATAATTAATGTGCGCACGCACCTTCGAAAAAGTCCGACCCCTAGGAACAAGCTCAGCGCTTGTAATTAACAATGGACATGAAAAAGGTATTGGGCTGGGGTATAAATATGCTCATAATATTGGAGGTCCCAGGTTCAGAAAATTCGTAACTATCTAGTCTAGTTCAACAAAATACGTTGCTGCACCGCCAAGCCCAAATGAACCAAGACCCGCCGATGAAAGACTTGTTTGCTAATAAAATTATAACAGAAAAATATAGCTGGCCATTGGTGCAGTTAGTAGTGCTCCTCTATAAATTACCGTGATTTAGAGTTAGATGTTAAATCCAGACAGCAGTATTACACACGCAAGTGAATTACTTCGCTTTTAACATTCTACATAAAACAGACTGAAAACCAGCCTCGATAGCAATTAACTTCTAGTAGTTCCCCGATGGTAGATTGATTTTATAATCAGGGGATTAACACGTGCGTGGTGCTAATGATACCTTCAAACTGTGTGAAGTGCCCAGCGTGCGTGACAGTAAGACGGTCCCCAGCAATGACTAGTCTATAGCTCCTAAAATAAGGCTTACACACGCTAACAACCCCTGCAAACCAATTTTCTTCCTATAGGTGTTGAGATTCTTTGCAGCAATCTGGCTATTGATCTGTCTTAGTTTCTGCTGTTTAGTGATCAAGTGGGCAGCCGTACAGCGTGCGTCGTTGACTGTTGCGTGCGTTGCATAGTGCGATTAAAAACGCTAAAAACGTTGTGCTGATGGCGATTCGCCGATAAGGCGTGACGTTGCAGCCGTGCCAGTTGATACGTATCAGTCGCGTTTGTGACAATGATCGTATAGATCGTGTACCCACCATGCACGTTGCGTGCAAATGCGGCACTGCGCGAGATCGAAGGACGGGCTATACTGCTCGCGTTCGTGCGTCCACGTACTGCAATAACTCCGAAACCGCGTCTAATCGTATATTGAGACTTTGACAACTAACCGGACGCTGCGCTTGATTGAAGTATGATTTCTCGCTCACAACTTGCCAACCAAAGAAATTTAGGACTCGTGGATTACGAATTAATTTCGTAGGGCACCATTAGTACAAAGGTGGCACGCTTAGGCGTGCAGTGCGTGGCTATGCGTCAGTGTGCTTGGGTGCCAGGTACACGTTCGTGCGTGCTGTGCGTGTGCAGGTACACGTAGTGTGCATGTGTGCGTGCCGTGCGTACGTGTATGTGCAGCGTACACGGTGACGTGCGCTGCGTGCATCCATGTTCACACGCAGCGCACGATGTACGGTGCAACACGCACGCACACACTCCCATGGTACGCACGTGGTACGTCGCAACACCGCAACGCAGACCGCGCGCATGCACGCACGCACGTGTACGTTCTCCCCCGGCCACACGCACGCAATGCACGCACGTGGAATAAGGTTACACACGAACGCACGCACGGTACAGTGCACAACTCACCAAAATCTATAGAAAGTAGTTTTCTGCTGATTCAGTGGGACGCCGACATTTTTAAACTCACATCGCCCTATCTCTCGCCGCTTTCATTGGTCAGCGTAAAAATATTTCGTAGGCTGAGTAAGGGCTCAACGGAGCACCGCCACCACGCTGAGTTTTCTGGCCTCGCAGTGGCCACAAATATCAATAACACCGGATAGATATCGACGTCCTCACAGCCACGCAGAGGCAAAAAAATTCGATGAACAAGGAATTGCATAGCAGACACCCAACGAACACTGAAGCATGATCATAGAACTAGAAAGCCACAAACGAGACCTCTAATGAGAGAAGATATAGGAAAACCTCAGCAGATAGTTACACAGTGAAAAAAATAGCAGGACAAAAAAGGCTTATCAAGAGAACGACAAGCTTCCAAGGTGACCTCACAAGCGTGCTCTGCCTGAACATAGCCTCGGATTACGACCAGCCTGAAAACGCGGATATTTCTTCTAGTGGACAAGAGGATATTATATTGTCAATTAATATACTCTTACTATATTATATATATGATTATATATATAGCGAGAGGAGAGAGAGAGAGAGAGAGAGAGAGAGAGAGAGAGAGAGCGATATATATATATATATATTCTCTTTCGATAATCGCGGTTATTCAGGGAACGAGGCTAAGCAGCGTGAGTACGAGGCGTTGGTAGAGCAGCGGCGAGCAGCGATCCGCGCCGTACTGTGGAGCGACGACGATGGAGCCTGGTTCGATTGGAACATGGAACACTCCTCCCCCAACAATGACCCGGACAACCACTACGTGTCGAGCGTCATGCCCTACTACGTGGGTTGTCACCACGATGATAGCGTTGAGAAACCGCTGTGGGCCTATCTCAAGGTAAACCACGAATGTAGCCTACCGATTCGCTCCTGCCAACGTAAGATCTTATTAAAAGTAAATCTATAATCTATAGTCTATCTATTAGTGATCTAATAGTATCTAATTAAAAGTATCTTATGTAAAGTAAACTACTGCGTAAACGATTTTGTGTTTAGAAAGCTATAACTATTATATAGATTAAGAAGTATAACTATTTTTGAAGGTAAAAGGGGGGTCAAGTTAAAATCGTAGGAAGTAGTGCGAAGGTCGCGTGAAGGGTAACTCAGCGTGCGCCTTTAGAAATCCACATTACTGGATCATATCGGAGGCGTACCGACGTCCACGTTGGATTCGGATGAACAGTGGGACTACCCGAACGTATGGCCGCCATTGGAGGAGATCATGGTGACGTCATTGTCTAAGATGTCCATCGAAGAAGCGAAGAGCAAGGCTGTCGATTTAGCCCAGCTGTGGATTTTCAACACGTGGCTCATACATAACAGCACAGGGAAGATGTATGAAAAGGTGCAGCAATATATACTGTGATATGGTGGGGAGTGAGGGTAGGGTAGTATTATTGTTGTTGCTGCTGCTGCTGGTGTAGTAGTTGTTGTTGTAGTTGTTGTTGTTATTGTTGTTGTTGTTGTTATTGTTGTTGTTGTTGTTGTTTTTGTTGTTGTTGTTGTTGTTGTTTTTAATGGCGGTGGCGGTGGCGAAATTTTTTTCTTGTGATAACCGTGAATAGTTGTAGGAGGGTTGGTAGGGAGATGTGTGACAGCGTCTGACGTAACTATATGATACAAGAGATTCTGGTCCCAATTAAACGACGTTGATGAAGACCTTGATCACTGGGAATCAAAATGTATTGTGCAAATGTACATCGGTTAATGTACATAGATGTAACATATCACATTCATACATTTGCAGTTTAATTGTGAAGAGAGTGGAGAGCCGGGCGGTGGAGGTGAATACGATGTCCAGGTAAGAAGACCTTAATTAGTATTTGCCAAATGTGTTAAGTTGCAATTTCTCCCCGACCGCGAAAAGTTGTCCTTCAAATAAATTTGTCAAATGCCATATGTCCTCCTCAATGATCAAGTAATAACACATGCCTACATTATTTTATTACAATTAAGCTGCAACATCTATTTAACCGCGGATATAAATCCTTTAAAAGTCAGATGCCTCTCGTGACATGTACGTCAACTGTATAACGAGCCTCTTGTATTTTGCCTAGGATGGATTCGGGTGGACGAACGGTGTTGTGCTTCAGTTGCTGGACAAGTACGGAGATGTGCTGGTTGCACCAAGCGCCGCCACCAGCCTCTCTCGTGGTGCCACCTTGTGCCAAATTATCGCAGTTTTAGTCAGTTGTTTGTTGTTCCGTCTGGCAGACGAACGGCGATTGTAACGCATTAGGACAATGGGTGCCATCATGGACGGGTTGTCTTGCTAAAACATCGTATATCTTTTGGACATCCTTTGCATCAACTACGCACGCGCTCTTAAATGATATCTGTATCTTAGTACAAATAGAAAAAGGGTTCATATAACATGTTACTCGATAGAATATGTTGAACTAGATTATTTAATGGGATGAAATTTGTGTGGAGTAAATTGGGGTTAAAAGGATGTGAGTTCTAGCGTTCCAATTTATTCCCGTGTGGTATATTTTTCGAAATTTACTTGCACTGGATTACACACCCATAGTCAACAAATAAAAATCACAAAATCACACAACCAAAGCTGAACAAAAATTTTATCAGAGAAAAATTGCTGAACACTTTCATGAAATTACACATTTGAAACAGAGAGCAAGCACTCTTGAGTAGTTGGAACGGAAAAGAAAGAATGTCATTGTCTCACGTTACAAATGGTACTGCGCAAAATGTCCAAATATCCCGACAAAAAGTAGCGCATGACGCCAAACAAACGATGTTTTTTGCAAACTTGTAGATTTAAGGCATAGAATACATACGCTCGAATAATTTGATATGAATCATTTCAATACTAATCCCTCACTTTGATAATTATAATTACTCAGTTTCTATAACCTCTCCGTGATGCGGCAGTGATTACAGCGCCAGACTTCTGCGCGCGTGACTCATATCTGCTAAAAGAAATAAGATATTATTTAAATTACATGTTTGAAATAGAGAGCACGGATTCTCGAGTAGGTTGGTGAGAGAATGGTTAATCTCAGTGCCTCGTGGTACTCATTGTAAAGTGTCCTGGCTTCCCAGCATTGAAGTCGTATGCCTTTATATACCTTTCTATGCCTTCTCTTCTTGGTCGAGGTTATAGTGGTGCGCGAGAAATATAATGTATGGCGCCGAGCGAACATATACATAATAAGCACATAAATTTTCCAGAATTTTGCGATCCATGACACACGTTTTTAAGATAGTACGATGTATGGTATAGACCTTATTTGCACCTTAGCAAAGCTACGCAAAATCTACCGATAGAGGGCACTACGTCTTACTCATGATCATGATAACATGCGCGTGTGGGTGTTTGTTCAGTTTATTAAACATTTTATATGTTCTTATCGTATGGCTGCGCGGTGTATCCGCTGCCGTTACGACAGCCAATAACCATTATTTCATCTTGGACGCATAATAATGCTGGAAAACGTCTGGATCCGGATCCACAATTAACTAATGTCGTCTGGGAACGCGCACGACATATCTGAACAATGTACACCTCGCGTACGAATTCGGAAACATTAGATAATGTTACATAATGCCGGTACAATGTTAAAGCTCAGCTCGTATATTGAAGATTAATCCAATACAGATACTATTAAGAATCCAAAACAGTGTGTCCAACGTGTAAATATTCCTCCATCTTACAACAAACCTTGCCAACTATCCCTGAGTTTAGGCATTCGACGAGCGCTGGCTGAGGAGGGGGTGGGAAGCAAATCTGGAAAGAGCTCCGTGTTATTAAAAAATACCCGAAGCTCAATTCACCACCCCGTTGCCGCTGTACTGACGAACGTGAATCGCTCGGCACCTCTAACGACGAAGACAGCGGGCGCGCGACACCGGCGTCAATGTTGTCATGGTCACAGCTGCTTGGCAGCATGCCGGAAGACCCCGTACCAAGCGCGCATGTTTACACACGCAGACGACCTGAGCAGGCGTAGAATGGAAGCGACAAACATTAATACGAGGAGACTTTACTACTGCGTCTAAGCAAAGCCGACGACGCGTGCGAGCGTGTACGTAACTATGGTGCCATGCAGTAGGACCTTAGCAGCGATTGCCATCGTAGAGACCACTGTTGTTTGACTTAATTCACTGATGCTGCGCACGTTGCTGCATGTCTATCAATACGTAATGACTCGGTGCAACGATTAATAGCCTAGTTCTACTACTGCTGTTACTGCTCCTGATGCTGCTGCTGCTGCTGCTGCTGTTACTGCCGCTGTTTACTGCACAACTCGACAGCAACATTGACGACGATGGCTGAATGGGGTTAGTATATACTTACAGCACGAGTGCTCTCTCTAGTTTATATTCATTATGTTGTAGTTAGTCATATGATAGTTAGCATTGTAAATACGTAAATACGTGACAAATAGATAGATAGATAGATAGATAGATAGATAAATAAATACATAGATAGATAGATAGATAGATAGATAGATAAATAGATAGATAGATAGATAGATAAATAGATAGATAGATCGATAGATAGATAGATAGATAGATAGATAGATTGATAGATAGATATATATATAGATAGATAGATAGATAGATAGATAGATAGATAGATAGATAGATATATAGATAGATAGATAGATATATAGATAAATGATAGATATATAGATAGATGATAGATATATAGATAAATGATAGATAGATAGAAAGACAGATAGAGAAAGGGAGAGAGGAAGAAAGAAAGTCATTTGGCGCAATAATAATATGATATATTATATATATTATATATATAGTATTATATATATATAATATATAAATATAAATATAAATGAATATAATGAATAATGAATAATGAATTATAATGAATAATGCAATAGCAATGATGAATTAGCGCGTCATTGTCGGTGACTGCTGCGCGCTGGCGCTAAACTGAATTCATTGTAAGAGTTCACATAACGTTCCCGAGGTTAAAAAACCAACATAAAAATTTATCTTTATGTCTGCATTTACCAACAAGTTCGTTTCTCTTGTTCAGTGTCGCGGTCTCAGGTTTACACAATATGTAGAACTTCTCTGTTAAGCATAGGTTGCATTTCTTCGTAGTGTTCGAGTAGTGTGGCGCTTTGCTCAGTATCTTCCATTTAATCGCGTAGTCTAGGTTGTTGTCTTTCAAGTTCCAAATATGTTTACTAAGTTCTGTCGAGTTCCGTTTTGATTTCGTCAACAGTCATCGACAATGACGCGCTAATTAGTATCTATGGTATTTCTTTAGAACGCGCACGCATGAACAATAGATCACATTATGCATGATGTTTTTATACTGCTCGGGATGTTCTAAATAGATCACTCTGTATTAGGCACTGATGAGTGTGGAGCTTTCGCTCCACACGAAACAGTTCTGTATGCAATAAACAGAGTCAAAATTACTTACCGTGTCCGTATAACTTTATCATGTTTGCTCTACTCATGGTAGTATTGAGCACTCTCGACACACGAGTTCATAAACAACCATTGAATCGCTATATATATATATATATATATACATTGCTTGCAGAATCTGGCTCGTCAGACACCGACGAGAATGCTGCGCCGAAAATCACTCACGCACCTCTGGACGCGAAAGAAGCGGAGAAAATTAACAGTACTCAGCACATACCGCAGAAGAAGCGAACGAAGGATAGGTAAGAATTAAATGAGTGGATGAATAGATGGATGGATGGATGGATGGATGGATGGATGAATGGATGGATAGATAAATGGACGGACGGATGGATGGATGGATCAATGAATGGATGAATGGATGGATAGCCGCACTGACCGATTGATCAATGCGATGAACGATTCGAAAAATCGAATAACTCTCGGATTACTTTAACAGAACCACGCTTCTTGGGGTCGATGATCCATCGAAACAGGCCCCCGGAAAGAAAGTAAAGAAGAAAGAAGGTAAAACCTTGGCCGAGACCCTGGCGGAGAAGAGACGTCGTTCCAAAACACCTGCTAAGCTGTCTGGCTCGACTAGCGTCCACAGCGGAGGCTCCGCGAACCCGTCTAGACCGTCCACGAACAAGAGCAGGGTGCGACCAAAGTCAAGGAAGCAATCAGCTTTGAGCAAAGTAACGAAAGAGCCACCGGAGAAAGAAACAAAGAAATTACCAGATCCGGCAAAGGACCAAGAGAAACAACCAGACCCAAACACAGAAAAAAACGAACCCGCAGTACCAAAAAAAAACGAACCGGAATCGGAAAAACCAGCGGAACCGGAAAAAGAACCTCGGAAACAATCCGAACCGAACAAAACGCCGGAGAAGACAGCGAATACAGACCAACCGCAGGACCCACAGGAGCCGAAAACGGACGTATCGGCGCCCCCGGACGGCAAGGATATCAAACAACCGGTTACACCTGCTGTTGCCAGCGTAGCTGCAGCACAGACGGTCGCGTCGCCAAACACCGATGACAGCGCGCCTAGCGGGGGCGACGACGAGCATCATGATTGGTCAGTCGCGGGAGACCACGGCGGCCATGTTGATATCGATTCGTTGGAAAGAGAAATCGATAAAAAACTAGAGGAAGTGAGGCAGCACGCAAACATGGCCGACTACAAACGCTTGATACTGCACCCGATACCGGAAGAAGAACAGCAGCTCAACCAGAGGGCGCTGCGTAGCATCGTCGACGGCCATTTCATGAGACAACTTATGCAAGGATTGTAACGAACCCGCGCATGCGCGTGAAGTTTGCGTGATACGTCTCGTTTGTATAATTGGTCTTTATTTGAAGTGAAAAAGCACTAACTCACATCAGTATATTACCATAAACCAATGTATATCGAATATACGTCATATCCATGAATCGTATAACTTCTGTAATAAGTGCACGCATGTATACTTGGACGTGGGTCATAGTAGAGTAGGATCATACTCTGGAATGATGTTTTCAAGGCGAGTACATTCGTAATCCTTGAACTCCTCGTATATAGCACTGCGTTGTTGGGTAAGGAAATCCGAGTTGACATTGGGAGCTGTCTTACAGATTTATCGGTTATTTTATTTGCTTGTAGATTTATACAGTAGCTGTTCACATGGTGCTCAGTGGCGCCTCATCGCGGTGTTTTCTCGCGTGTTTCTCGTTGTGTCACGTGATTGTTGTAGTTGGTGACGCATGGAATTCTTTCAATCTAACTCTCTATAACCTCGTGTAACCTCGTAACTATTAGTCTCCAAGGGACTACATCAAAGAAGGAAAGAGACAAAGTTGATCAAATAGACAGATCAATACTGCGGATCGCAGTAGAAAAAGCCATGCGAGTTTTTTTAATACAATAGCCCACCATCTAATATATAGGCGATGCGGGAAATCATGAATAATTATTATATTACTACCAATATAATAATGATTAGAATTGATTTTGTGTAAATTCATGACAGTACATATAGCGGCGAACGAATATCTACTTCTATTCCTATATCTAATTCCTATTATCTATCTACCAATTATTTTTAACCTAATAATTTAAATATCACAAATATTTCCCATTTAGATTAGTTCAGAGATAATTCGAAAGGGGGCGGCCATTGTAACGATTGTTGTTTTGGCGGGAATAAATTTGTAAGTAGGAAAGCGTTTTCATAGTTTTAATTTTTATACTAAGATCTAAGAATTCGAAATAGTTTGACTTCCACTAATATAATGGGGCAGAAAAGGAAAGTAACTAAGAAGGCTGATAAATTCGGGAATAGGTGGGCCCAATGCAGTAAGTGTAAAAGGTGGGATATATGGGAAAATGTCAGTGATGTACAGACGTCATGCCGGAAGATTTCGTGTATGATTGTCACGCCTGTAATTTCCAGAGACAGTGGACTAGCGAGAAGACTGCTCTCACTCAGGAGATCGAGAAGCTGAAGAAGGAAGTCTGGCTATTGAGGAGTCGTGAGGAACGAGAGGGAAGCTACATCATATACTTGATGAGCTGGTTGAGTTCACGGCCAAGGTCAAGGAAGCTGAAGCTGGGGATTCCACTGCTAACGAGTTGGAGAAAGGGACCACCAAGGAGCTGGAGGACGGGACCACCATAGACCTAGAGGACGGGACCACCAAGGACCGGGACGACGGTATCACCATGGACCGGGACGACGGGACCACTATAGACCGGGACGACGAGACCACTGGGGAGATGGAGGACCGGACATCACAGCCACTGAATCCAACGAATGAAGACAGCAGTAGAACCCAACGTGAAAAAATATTAATTTTGGGCGACTCAATAGTCAGACAGACAGTAAAGACAGTAAGTAACAATGGAGAAACAAGGGATAGGTGTGTATTAACCTTTGGAGGGGCTGGGGCACAGGATATATAGAAGAAAGGCTAGACAGAGTAGTTAATCGGGAAGATAGTCTGGGAACAGTAATTATGCATGTTGGGGGTAAATGATGCTTTAAATAAAAAATTGGAAGAAGCTAGACAAGATCTTCTGCAATTAGCAAGGAGTACAAGTGAAAAAACCAAGGAACTGATCATATAGGGACTGCTACCGTGCTTCAAGCCGAACCGTAACCACCTGAACCAGAAGATAATGTCGCTGAACAGGACACTGGAGATCTTCTGCACGGCAAACAACGCAACGTACCTCGACAACTGGAGGTACTTCATGGATAGGAGTGACCTGTATGCACCGGATGGCCTACACCTTAACAAGACCGGAGGAGCTCGTCTAGCGGAAAGCTTCCTAAAAACACACCAGGGAAACTAGGAGCCTGGGGCGTCGAAGCATCATTAAACGCACTGGTATCATCAGATGTGCAGACAACGGAGAAGGCGACCCCTCGCGCTTCGGATTCACCAACATTTGATTGTCTACTAAAGAAAGGTTTGAACTTTATCCATTTAAATGCTCGTAGCCTCCTCCCCAAAATGGATGAGATTCGATATATCTCCAATCTTGCTAAAATTGCAGTGATAGCAGTGTCTGAGACTTGGCTAGATGAAACAGTTGAAAATTCAGAAATTTTTATAGACAACTATACCGTGGAAAGACAGGATAGGAATAGATGTGGTGGCAGAGTATGTATTTATATAAGGAAAGACTTTGCTTACAACCTGAGACCTGATATGTTCAAAATTGGGCTAGAACTAGCAATATGGGTCGAAATATTACTGCCACGAACAAAACCAATATTAACGGGTGTTTGTTATAAACCACCAAAACAAGGAGACTTTTTTGAATTACTAGAGAATGCATGCATTTCTACAGAAAATTTTGTGGAGTTAGAAATTATTATTCTAGGTGATTTTAATGTCAATATACTCAGTAAACCCGTAAATCATTATCAGGACCACTTAAGACATTCAAAAATTTTTGCTATCATTTCGATTTAAAACCATTAATTACTAGTCCGACTAGGGTAAACAAATTCATCAGAAACAGCAATAGACATAATAATGGTGTCGGATGCGGATAAGATTTGCCAGTCTGGTACTATATAGCAATGGGTATAAGTGATCATTTCCTAACATACTGTACAAGGAAATCTATTAGAAAGGTTATAGGTAAGCATCGTACTACTCGAATTAGGTCAATGAAACACTACAGCCCAGAGGTATTTAAAGAGATCCTATTGAAAAAGAAATGGTTGGATATCTTGAATGCAGATTCTAGAAATATAGCATGGGTAAATTTTAAAACCTATCTTCTTAAAGCCATCGACACTGTAGCACCCATTAAGCAGGTAAGAATAAAAGAGAAATCAAAGACATGGTTTAACTCGGAGATAAAGGAACTTATTAGAGAAAGGGACAGGAAACTATTACAATTCAGGAGAAATAAGGATGAAATTGACTTTAGGGATTTCCAGTTACTTAGGAACAACACTCAGAATGAGATTAAGAGGGCAAAAGCCCATTTTTATACAGAAAAGATTGAAAGCAACAAAAATAATCCTAAAAAACTTTGGCACACTCTAAAAAGTATGGGTATGAACAATAAAGCAAATAATAGCTCTGGTCAGGTAGGTTTAAAAATTGGGGACAATATATGTTTTGAAAAGTCAAGGGTAGCAGATAGCTTTAATACTTTCTTTACGAACGTGGCCTCAACCCTAGTGGAAAAATTGCCAAAACAGTCTGGCATTTACGATGAGACACGAGTCACTAATTACTATAGAGATAGAGGAGTACTAGGAAATAATTTTAAATTTTTCCCTGTAAGCAAAGAAGAGGTCTTAAAGGTACTTAATAACATAAACCCTGATAAGGCTACAGGGTTAGATAACATACCAGCTAAATTTATAAAAGATGGGTCTGAGATTATTTGTGAGGCATTTACACATATTAACAACTTATCATTCCTCAATGGAATAATTCCAGATGATATGAAATTGGCGAGAGTCATCCCCTTGCACAAAAAAAGAAAGCAAAACCGATCCAGGAAATTATAGACCTGTGTCGATTCTTAGCGTTATGTCCAAAGTTCTAGAAAGAGTAGCTTATAATCAAATAGAGAAATACCTGAGGGATAATTCATTATTATACCAGTTTCAGTCTGGATTTCGATCAGCTCATTCTACAGATACAGCCTTAATTCACTTAACGGATTACATTCGGAATGAATATATCTTACTATCAAAACTAAAAGCAATTGGTCTACACTATAAGGTGGTCGAATGGTTCCAGGCCTATCTGTGCAGAAGAAGCCAGATGACAGATGTCGGAGGCACCTTTTCTGCAAAAAATGATATAACATGTGGTGTACCTCAGGGATCGATTTTAGGACCGTTGCTATTTTTAATATATGTAAACGATATGGCAGACGCTGTAAAAACTAAGCTTTTATTGTATGCTGATGACTCGGCGCTGTTAGTATCAAGAACTGATATTCAGGTTATTCAGGAAAAATTAAGCTTGGACGGTTAGTAGATGGCTGTGTGACAACAATCTATCCCTGCACCTTGGAAAGACAGAAACCATTCTGTTTAGATCAAAAAATAAAATCAGTCGACTTACAAACATTGTTGTCACATGAAATGGGTCAGATATTCAAAGTAAGACTGCAGTAAAATATTTAGGAGTAGAATTAGAACACAATTTGACTGCTGAAATTACAGGAAGCAAAGTTGTCAAAAAGGTCAACAATAGATCGAAAATTTATTTACAGAAAAGCTAAATATTTAAACAAATTATGTAAAAAATACTAGTTACTGCCTTGATTCATTGTCATTTGGATTAGGCGTGTAGTGTTTGGTACAGTAGCCTTTCAATGAAAACAAAATGCAAGTTGCAGGTATGCCAAAATAAAGCTATTAGATGTGTTCTAAATCTGGGACCAAGAACCCACATAGATGCAAGGGAGTTCCTGTCTGTAAATTGGGTTCCAGTTGAGTTCAGAGTAGTACAACTGAAGGTAAACCATGTTTTCAAAATTCTGCATAATCTCAGTCCCGAATACATGACTGATGGATTTACATTAACCTCGGAAATTCACGGCTTCAAAACTAGGGCTGGGGAGCTGTCAATCTTTAAACCAAGAGTGGGGGTCAATAGAAAAAGACATTTATATATACTTCAATTGAAGCTTGGAACTCCCTACCACCTCACATTAGATCTGCAGCCAGATATATTAGTTTCAAAGGGCAAGTTAAAAAACACCTTATGGAAAAGGTTAAGACAATGGAAGACAGTGACTTCATATTTTACTAATCACGGTTTACTAAATGAATAGATGAAATATAGGGGTGACATGATCTCATCACTATTACAATTATCAGTGTATTTATACTTGATATAAGTATTATCTTATATATAATTATATTACACTTATATAAATATGAGTGTGGGTGTATGTATGCAATATGTATATAATGATGTACGTATGTGTGTCGAAATAATGGTAAAGTGTACCTTAATCACTTTGCCTGCACAGGCTATACTGAAGTTTTTTTCTTGTATCTATTTTTTCTTCATGTTGTATATGCACTGCTTTGTACTGTATCACTCAAAATTACCATTTTAACTGCCCAACACTATTGCACTTTTCAATACGTTTATAACTTGATAACGTTAAATGTGAGTGTGTGCGAAATATGTTGTTTGTAATGTGGATATAATGGTGTATGAATCGAGTGTCGAAATGATGTGCTAAAAGGGTACTACTTGTACAAAATTTGATGAAGTTTTTTTTGTATGTATTTAGTTTTTTTTCATATTGTTCTGCACTGCTTTGTACTGTATTCACTCAGGAAACATCATTTCTACCTGCTAAACATTTACTGTAATCACTTTACTTGTACAGAATATGATGAAGTTTTTTTTCTCGTTTATATTTTTTCTTCATAGTATATAGCACTGTCTTGTATTGTATCACTCAGAAAACATCTATTTTTTTCATTTTTTTTTTAACTGCTCCAACACTTACCTCACTTTACTTGTACATAATATGCTGAAGTTTTTTTTGTATATATTTTTTCTTCATGCTGTATATCAATGTTTTGTACTGTATCACTCAGAAATTTTGGGGATCGTGGGTATATTAATTTTGCTATAGTTTATAGTATGTACAATGTTATGTTGGACCACAATGGAAATAAGTGTGTTAGCCACGCTTTTTGTGTTTTCATCCTCGAGAATTTTCTAGCTGCATTTTGTTTATTTATGCTGTTATCGATGTAATGTATGCTTTGTTAATTATCGAAATAAATAAATCAAATCAAATCAAAAATCTACTTCTGATATTAGGGAACAAGCGTGATTGACAGGGTATCAGTTAAGACTGTACTAGTTCACTGACTTGCAATATATCGCTTTGATGTTGAACAAACAATTAAAACCACCCGACAAATTCCGCCAGACATGTTATCATTGCGGAAACGGATCAACATTCTCGCATCGATGACGTATTAAATCAAACAAATCCAATACGATATCGCACGTGGTGACTATTGGTTGGCTGGCCGGACCTTGAGCGAAGTAACACACTGCACCCATACATCTGCTCGCTGACTCTTCACACGTAGATACGCCATCGGAAACATCAGCGTAAAACATGGAGTGGCCACTATCACTGAGAGCTCTCGCCGTTGCAGCCATTTATATAGCAGTCATGCTGGTCGCAGGTAAGCAACGACAATAGCACGGCAACTAGATTATAATTAGTTATGTTAATGAGCAAGTGTGAGTACTGCACACGGTGTTATACTCACAGATATACATACTACACACTGCTACAACTAGCACTATAGCATACATGTGACGTTATATCCTAGTGTACATTTACAATCGCAACACATATCAATCTGGCGTCCGGTAACATATCAAATTAAATGTTTAATATGATAGAAGAAAATAGAAGGTTATGTGTAGTACAACTCCTTCTGAGTTATCAGTTTGGGTAACTCTATAGAAATAAACTGTAAATGCAAAATATATATATGTGTGTATAATATATATATATATATATATATAATTCATATATATAATATAATATATATAATATACAACAGATATTCATTGCAGTTACATGTTATTAGCCTTAGCCTCATATATCTCAAAACCTATTTTCTCTATGAATTAAACGAATCCCCCCCCCCGCCCATCATGCCCAAACCTGTAATAATTTGTTTGAGCACAATGACGCAAATGACCTTCCTGTACTTCGAAGCATATAGAGAGAAGCCATGCTAGTGTGTGACCTCCTCTCTCGTGTCACGGCAGGCGGGGAGTGTCTGACGTGCTACAGCTGCATCAGTGAGGATCCCATGCCGACCAACGACACGTGCCTGCACGCACCCAGCGATGAGATCACCGATGAGGCTTTCACGCTGTGTAGGACTGATCGCCAGGAGAGGGGAGGTACGTATAGTGTAGAGGTGACGAGAGAGGGAGGGGGAGGTGGGAGAGAGAGAAAGAGGTGTGTGTGTGTGTGTGTGTGTGTGTGTGTGTGTGTGTGTGTGTGTGTGTGTGTGTTAATCAGGGGCATATCCAGGAATTCTAGAGGGAATACTGTAAATAGCGCGTCGCTGCAGACGGGTTGGAGATACCACTTGCGTACCGCGTGCAATTCTATGTATTTTTAATTACGTCCGTTGTTTTACCGTTTCGTCCCTGGTTGCAAATAAATATAAACACGCCATACTATATTCTTTAACTACATATTTTGAATTTCGTTGCACTTTATTCTTTTCCATGCGGGAACTTGTTACGTACCGCTTACAAGCTAATAATCTTACCTGCAATCGCTAAAGTAGGTGTGGAGGCGCCATTATCCCCTGAACCACCTCCACGTAATTTGTTTTAATTAACAGCACTTTTATATCCGTGCTTTTGCCTTTAACGTTATTTCTTTATTTCACCAGTATGTGATTATAGAATTTTTGATCTTATTTTAACATAAATAATAAACTTTCATGATAAATCACTGTAAACGACTTTGCAACAGTTTCGGGACAACTTGTCAATATAGTAAACACCCGCATAAAAGAACCCGTGATTCTTATCATATTAAACACAATGAAAGGTCAAATGCTGTGAAAATTGATTTGACTAATAGTAGACAGTTTCCAATGGTGTAGCACACATACTTGGATTGCCCCAGTTTGCTCTAATTTTCTGTATTTTTTTTATATAACAACCTGTTTAATTTATCAGGCTGAAGAGGTTCTTATATAATAGGTACTTTATTGGTCCCCTTTCAGCCTGGAGGTTCTTAAAATCACGGGTTATTTTATGCGCGTGTTTACTGTACTACATATACTTACATATACGTCATTCAACGTTTAACGTAGATATTCCGTAACATTAGAAATTATATTATAACCATTTAGTATATTTTGGAGCTTTATCGTGGATTTGACTGGTTATTGGCAGGCTGCCGCCGTCATAGCAGGCGAAGCTGGTGCGAGTGGGAGGCATGGCGCGGGGCGTGGACGCCCCGGACACCGCGGCCGACCACATCCACCTAAGGGGCGACTGAAGCTACGGGAACAGAATACTTCGATAACACGTCTGGAGATTCTATGGACAGGTACGTCCGCAATTGATCTTGAAGTGGCAAGCTACATAATATGAGGAGTTAATGACGACAAATTCGAGTTAACTCCTGATAATATGCTATTTGGCATATGATTCAGAGCATAATTATTTAACAGCAGGGTAACTATCCTATGTGATGCGTAAATCGTGTGTTCATCGACTGATGGTGTGCAGCCATAAGTACCCATAAGATATCAAGCATGACGCATTGCTTAGCATGAATAATATTTTTTGTCTTATTTCAGGCAGATGCTTGACAACAGACATGACTTGGATGATGACAGCGGATAGGCACATGAAAATGGGCGCATTACGGACTTTTCGTTCGAATTTTTGAAACTTTGCACAGGCGTACTACATGAGGTCCTGGCATAATGTTATAGCTTTAAAAGTAAATAACCTATTTAGAACGAAACAACTGCGATTATTCTCATGTATCTGTAATATTACAACAACAATATGTTGAGTATTGGTATCTGTAAGTTGTAATAAAATTAGGTTAAAACAATAAAATGGGTAAAAATAATAGAAAAATTCCTTCCACTAGTATATTAAATGACCGATACATCAAATATTGTTCAGTTTGCATGTCAAACTGTTACTGATTTAGTACACAAACAGATTATGCAAGCAAGATTCTAGTTAATTGAACCAATTAAGCAACGGCACCTGGTGTCGTACAGCGCCCCTGGCGGTTGAACATATATTGCTTTATACTACTTCGGGTTTTGGATATAACTTCCAAAATACTTGTCCAATTTAGTCAAACAAATTCCTCACATGATTAGCATGCATCGATACTAATACTGTAGCAGAATTTGTTTGGTTTTAATAAACATATAGTGAAACAATGAAATGGGTTCTTCGGTATATCTTGTTGGCGGAAAATATGGTGTGTGTTTGTAAACCGACATTATGGTTGGACTAAATTGACAAACCGTACACCATAGGGGTACCAGGCTCAGCTGTATGATGATTACCTGACAAGCTACGTGAATTATAATGTGCAACACACGGATGATTCGGACCAGAGCTAGACAATGTAAAGCACAAAACTTCGTAGCGCGCATCATGAGTGTCAAAGAGAGAGCTGTTGGCCTTCAAAATTATTGCGACGTATTTTATGTGAAACTTGTTTTCGCCACTCGCGACCTTCATCCTATAGCCACCTTCGCGACTTACGCACCATCACGCAATGGTTTGAAACGACAGCTAGAAGACGTACTCAATCATCGGCATTTTTTCAGCGTTGCTCTTGTCGGCCGTAGGATATATCGCGATCGCGAAACTATATATTAGACGGACTATTGTAGCACGGAAAGCCTGTAATACGTGTAGTACACACGACAAAGAACTGACAAAAATCGGTTATATTGTTATATTGTTTATATTATGTATCATAAAACCTGTGAGACGTGTCTGCGTACGTGTGTGTGTGTGTGTGTGTGTGTGTGTGTGTGTGTGTCTGTGTGTGTGTGAGTGTGTATGTGTGTGTATGTGTGTATGCATGTATGCATGTATGTATACCCACGCAGCAACATCGATTCCTTACAGAGACAGGCCAGCTGCTAACTTTCATACGAGGGTGCGAAATTCTGCAGGATTCATTGAAAGATAAATGCTACACGTGGGAGAAGTGGGGACCGAATGGACTTGAAGGAATCGTGTTAAGTTGCACAATGACATGCGACACCTCTCTCTGTAACACAGGAACACCTGAAGAAGGTGACGATGTCTCGATGTGCGCAGGCCTGAAACATTCACTCTACTTGGTGATATTGTCAGCAGCCATAGTAACTGTTATTGGGCAGGGCATTTAGTAATGTAGATAGAAGTTTTCTTGACAAATTGTTAACACATGTTGTTGCGTCTGCGCTTTCTAACACTAATGCCGCTATGTCAGAAATCTAGCTAGAAATCCACGTGTCTAGTGCGCACAATACGTATAATTTCTAACTCGGACTCACTAATAAGTATTTGTTATTTCGATATAACCCCCTTACCGGCAGAGCTGGTGTTATCTAATGTACATACAAGTAATCATGAGTCCATATCATCTATTATATTGGAGTAATCTACTGGGTTCATTTGTGTGTACGTACAGTCTGTACGGTACAGATAGAACGCAATTGTGCAGCCTAGATCGTAATTCATGCGTAAACTAATCAGCCCAGTATGGAATTGATACAGATAATGACAAAATCAGTTTATTATAATAATAACTGTTAAGCAAGTAGTTAATATATAATTAATATTAATAATAACAATAATTAAGTTATATTAAGGAGTTAATTATAATTACTATAAAGACAGCGAGGAATTAAGAGTTGTGTTGTTATTTTTGCTCCTGTTTGTTGCGCACAGTCAAGGGAGAGGAGCCGAAAATAGCTGCGAGTCGTACTTTCAAAATTGTTTGTAAGGTTGTTTGTATACATCCAGTCAGATTACTACCAAATGCTAAACATACAAGCTTTCGTCTTTTACCTAGAAAATTTGGTCTTCATTGAAATTCACCCCCTCAAAACAACGAAATAAACTGCCGAATTTTTAAGCCAAACGGGCAGACGCGTTGACGCAGTATTAGTGTAATGAGGGCATAACGTTTGTATCTATTATAGCGACATTATATTCCTGTGCTTCGAACATTGAAATTTTCCACCCCTCAAAACAACGAACATAAACTGCCGAATTTTAAGCCATGACAGACGGGCTGACGCGTTTGACGCAAGTATTAGTGTAATGAGGGCATAACGTTTGTATCTATTATAGCGACATTATATCAGCTGTCACGACATTATAT